TGACAGAATAAGGGCTGAGAAGTGTCATTCCAGAGAACATACAGACAGTTCCACTCAGGCAGCTTTTTCCTTCTTTTGTCCCTGTGTTCTCTACTTGTGCTTTCAAGAAATCACGGAAAGGCGGTGCCTCATACAGACCAGAGGAGAACAAAGAAGCAGAAGAGCTGACCTTCAGCTGAAAATGTAGGTGAAAGGGAAGGGAAGTGACTGCGGCTCAGAGGCAGGATCACCTCAGGACATCTGAACGATGTCCAGGGGAACAGAGAGCAATGGGTTCCATTAATATGAAGCAGAGCTGAAATGGATTGTGGCAGTTTCCAGTGTCCTCGAGAAGCATCCAGTCTGGTTCCATAGCAATTCCCAATGCAGCTTCTCAAAGGGCCAGTTTTATTCACTGTAAGCGAATTCTTTTAGATTACAAACGGCTTAGAGCAGAAATCACCTCCATGACGAGGAAACAGCAGAGACACAGCAGTAAGACTGGGGCAGGATCAGCCAGAGTCTATAGGATCATTGTGAGTCACAGCCCACTCGATGTAACCTAACACCACCAGGGATGCCAGTCATACCGCTCGGTGTATGTGGAATGTGCTTGGAAAGGTGGAGGTCGGCAGAAGACCCTCAATGAGACAGACTGACAGAGTACCTGTAACACGGGGCTTGAGCATGGCAGAGGTTGTAAGAGTGGAACAGGACAGGGGAAGATTCCACTCTGCTGTCCGCACAGTCACCAGGAGTAAGAGCTGACTCGACACCTAACAACAGCAGCAGCGGGAGGCATGACTCTAAGGTAATGACGGTGGCACTAAGGAAGGGACAAAGTGTCACTCCTGTCGTCACTGCTAACTCGCCTGGAAGGGTTACCACGACTCCAAGCTCCAATACGTTGGGATGGGTCCAGTCTTCCTGTTCCTCCTCCTCCATCTATGTTGCCTGCTGTTCACATGGCACACGCTCTCTGGCTCCAGCCCTCCAGAGCTGAGTCAGAGTTTGCAAGTTAGAGGGACACCTTCTTTCTAACCAGCTGCCCATGCAGTAATTCTGGAATCTAGCCATTTAGACTGAGGTATGAGATTACATCTCAGGGATGAGGAGGACACCCTTCAGTCTGCCCAATACACAGACAGCAACAACCTCTTGCTACCCCTGTGAGTTTGTTAGTTTTCCAGAATGACTCACAGGATCCATAGAGAGGATAGTTTACTTCTTGGTATGAGGAGTGATAAAGTCAGTACTCACTCAAAGCAGTCCTATTCCCAACAGAACGAAACATTGCCTAGCCCTAGGGCCTCCCCACAAATGCCATGTATGAGCCCAGTATTGTAGCCACTGTGTCAATCCATCTTGTCGAAGGTTCTTCCTCTTTTTTGCTGACCCTCTATCAGATATGCTACTGTTCTCCAGGGACTGGACCCTCCTGAGAACATGAACAAAGCAGGTGACATTAAATGGCACCATCTTTGCTCCTAAGGAGCATTCCACTGCAAGTTTCCAAGAGAGACTTGTTTGTTCTTACAGCAGTCCACTGTATATTCAGTATTCTTCACTAAAAACATGAATTCTTTACCCTGCTTTATTCATTCTCTAGTTTTTACACATCTACAAATAGGTCTGGCTTGGAGACGGCGAAACCAAGTTTCTCCTTAGAGGCTAGGATTTTTTTAAAAATTATTTTTGTGTGTACCGTCAAACTGGATCTGACTGGTACAGGAGGAGATTGTCCCTCCTTCTCCAGCAGAGCATCTGGTGGATTTGAACCATGCACCTCTGGGAGAGGCTAGGATTTTGAAGCTCCATCTCACATGCTTTGGGCATGTGGCCAGAAGAGACTTGTCCTTGGAGAAGGACATTATGCTCGGTAGGGTGGGGGGGACAGGAGAGGAAGACTCCAGATGAGCTAGATTGATACAGTAACTGGAGCAATGGCAGTTTGGTGTGTCAGAATTAGTGAGACTGGCTCAGGAGAGGGAAGGGTTCAGAGCTGCTGTATATAGGGTCGCAGGCAACTCGAAGGCACATAACAACAATTAACAACAACATATTACATTGGTTGTTTTTTATTTAAGACTCTTGTTTAGAGTCAACATGATCTGGGAAGAACCTTTGTATTTAAAAGTAAATTGTTAGTATATTTTGGAGAAACATTCTTCAAAGTGTTACAGCACTCTTCTGTAAATTTGCTGTACTGTAGTAATCTGGGGTTGCTGTGATGTTGCCATTGGGGTGTCAAATGTCATAAGGGTTACCCATGGTAGACAGTGTTTGGTGGACCTCCCAGTTTAAGACAGGTTTGGAAGCAAGAGTGGGAATGACAACCAATTCCTAAACATGCCTCCGGAAACTCTATGAACTTTGAGAAACAATGATAGTTATAGAGGGGCTTCAGGTCTTTTATTCATAGGGTCACTATGAGTCGTACTTGACTCGACGCCAATCAACAACATAAGGTGATAGGAAATAATATTGCTTGGGTTGCTGCACCTTAGTAGTTACCAAAATCTTTGCTTTTCTATATTTTAAGAAGAAAAATCAGTAAATCTGTCCACTGCAATATATTGTCTAATTTCTTGACGGCTTTTTCCACTGTGGATCCAAAGTAAAATGAGTTGACAATCTCAATGTTTTCTCATTTTATCCTATTACTTGTTGATCCAGCTGTGAGAATTCCTGTTATATACTGAGGTATAGCCCACACTGAAGTTGTTGATTAATACATGCCTTAAGTCTTCTTCACTATCAGCAAGCAAGGTTGTGTCATATAAATATTATAGATTGTCAATGAGTCTTCCTCCAATCCTGATTTCATGTCTTTCTTCATAAATGTCAGTTCCCATGTTTGGATTATCTGGTGTGGAGTTTATCTTTTACTATGACTTTCCTAGTCATTGAATTTGACTTTGCCATGAGAATGGGTGGAGATATGTGAATAGGGCATGTCAGCCTATCCACAAGGGGACTGACTAGACTCACCATTAAATTGAGTGGATCCAGCAGCGGAAATAAGTAAGTTCATCACCAGGAAAAGAGGAAGCAATAGAACCTACAGGACCACAGGACCAGAAGCCATGGCAGCCACAGAAGAGCACCGGAGACTGGATGTGAGATGGAGAGCCAGAGACCCGACATGAGGTGGGAACTTCTACACCATTGGAACCAATGAAAAGATTCATGGGTTGAGCTCTAGACAGCTAACAATGAAAAGTATCCCTGTCTTCAAGTGGGACGAGCTATCCTTTCCAGTACACAGTCACCAACCTACAAGTCCATATATACACTAGGACTCTGGGCTCTTAGTATCCTCACCACCTAGATTACATCTTGGGAGCTCTGGTGGCCTCATGGGTAAGAAGCTGTGCTGTTAAACCAAACATAGGCGGTTTGAGCCCACCAGATGCTCCTCAGCAAAAAGATGGGCAATCTCCACTCTGTGACTTATAGCCTCTGAAAACCTGCTGGAAGGTCTGCTATGAGTTGGTTCCAACTCAACGGCACATAATAACAATATGAGGCTCCCAGGTGGTCCCTGCCACTTGGTCAGCCCCAAAAACAAAGGCCAAAATTCTTTCCGCATGATGATCCACACTTCACAACAATGAACTATAAAAACAAACAAAATACCTAACTGTTGTTGTTGTTATGTGCCGTCGAGTCGCTTGCCACTCATAGCGACCCTATGTCCAACAGCCCTAAACTCTGCTCTGTGCTGTGCCAATTGCACTGTCTCTGACACTCCCATCCCAATTATCCCAGTCACTGAATCAATCCACCTCACAGAGGGCCTTCCTCTCCTGCACTGTCCCTCCACCCTCTCAAGCATGATGTCCTTCTCCAAGGACCGGTCTCTCCTCACAACATGTCCAAAGTATGTTAGACGGAGCCTCATGCAACACAAATTCTTACCTCCTTCAAGGAAGTCATTTAGGGAAACTATTCATTCTTCTACTGGCATTATGGTTTCTCCAAATATTTTTGTAATTCTCTCTCTCTCTCTAGCACTGCTCAAAAAAAAAACATCCCATTTCATTTCCTGTTTTTTAACCAAAAATGGTTTTACTCATTTGAAACAACTTTCTTTCCTGATCTGGCTCTTGGCTTGTAAACAAAATCATAGTAATGTTCATAATACCTGACTGGCCATCCAGGATGACCATTCTGAGGAAATTAATGTCTTTAAGAAAGGAAAGAACTCTTCTAACAATTCATGAAAAGCCTGAAAAATTGAAGTAGGTGGATTTTCATATTCCAGTAGGAGTTAACAAAACATGATCACAAGCCAAGATTTTTAAATGCACGGAGAAATAAAGAGCTATCAGCAGTTGCTTTGATCTTTTGGAGTGGTCAGCAGAGATGGAAGCCCAGGCTTGAGACCCTAGAGGCTTCTTCCCATGAGACAGTGTTTATGAAAGGTAACACACACCTGTATTTTTTCACTTCACTTTCCAACATTGGCTGCAAATGTGTATCTCTTGGGACAGGGTTAAAACACCAGGGACTGGCTACTTCCAGACAAATGAACCTATGTGTCAAAGGGAAGAATCTGTGTGCCAGTGTGTTTTGTTTATTCTTCTCCTTTCCCCTCCTTGTTTTCCTCCCTCTGCCTTCCTTTCTTTTTTTCCAAATTCCCTGGATTATCCAGATGCATGAAAGCAAAATGATGCCCGAGGACTCGCTCCATTTATTATCTCACTTCATGACCCACAGACTCAAAAATCAGAGACTATTCACCTACCTGGAATCTTTGCAAGTGATACTAAAAATGGAGCTCTCGGTGTTTAGATAAGAGCAGTCTGTCTTTAGTTCACTAACCACATATACAGGGAAACACACTTGTGAAGGCCCAGGTGAAGCAAGAAACTATGCCAGAGCCTAGTCACTGGAAGGGATTCTGTTTTCGTTTTTGACTTGTAGTAGCTTCTAAATTTTCCACAATGAATATGCATCACCTTTGTGGTACCTACTTTCATGCTGGGTTATTGACTCAAGGGATAAAAAGTGCATACCTGCAGGATCTTGGGCTGTCACGTCCACACCATGGGTGACCATGACCCTGAGGCATTCCACATGTCCCTTTGAAGCAGCAAGATGAAACCTAAGAACAGAGAAACACAATCACCTTAAGATTCCCAGTCTCTCAAGTTCACCTTTGCCATGCCTTTGGCCTCTCCACACACAATTTCTCTCACTTGTACTTCACCATTCAATGATGGTAGTGAATTCAGATTAGAGAGGAACATCCTAAGACCCTGAGGAGTCTGATCACTTATTCACTGTTCTCTCTTATTAAATGATGAAGCATAAACTTGACAAGTCTGATTTAAAGACTGTGCCCGAAAGAAGTAGGAAGACTCACCATCTATTTATCTCTTTATGAGATAAACAAAGTTGGAAAGTCCCAACTAGGTTCAATTTCTGAATGAGGAAAATACTAATAACCTCTTTTTGTTCTTGTATAACATATGCAAGGAAAACAACATAGATCAAAATTGTATAGCTTGCTACAATTTCATAAATGGAGCATAGTTATTTTTTGTTCATACTAATGAATAAACACAACAGGTCAGAAACCTAAACGCTCTCCTTGAATCTCTTCCTAGCACCTCAAAAGCTCTTCCTGTGACTCTTCAATCACCAAGCCCCCTCTCTTCATATGCTGGTGTCGTGTATCATCGAGTTGGAACTGAACCCTCCAGTGGATTTTCAGAGGCAGTAAACTGTGCGAGGTAACTGTCCATCCTTCTTCCGTGGAGCAACTGGTGGATGTGAACTGTGGTCCTTCAGGATTACAGCGACATTTGTTGCCACTAGGCCACCAGACCTCCTCATACAGCATCTATATTTTCTCTACTTAAAGGCTCTCAGGATTACATATGGAATGCATGCCAAGTCTGTGTGGGGTTAAAACTGTGGACACATCTGATGAGGGAGCATTATTATAAGCAATACAATTTTAACACAGAATATACCCAGTAACTTAAAGAAGACTCCTTGATACGGTTTAAGGCAAAACTGGGATGAAATTAAATAGCTTGAGAACATACCTCTCTTAGAGGTCAGTCTGGCCGTTTCTTAAGATATTAAACATTGGTTTGCCATTTGAGCCAGTAATTGTGCTCCTAGGTATTTACCTAAGTAAGGTGAAACTGTTATGTCCACATAAAATATCTGCACATAAATGTGTACAGCGGCTTTATTAATAATGACCCTAAAGTGGAAGCAGTCCAAGATGTCCATCAATATGTGGGTGCATAAACTGTGCTACATCCACACAATGGAACATTATTATTCTGCAAGGAAAAAAGAGAAGAGCCCTCAAGCCACAAAAAGACATGGAGGATCCTTAAAAGAATGCGGTAAAATTTAAGAATCTAGACCCCTGGTGCATTATGCAGATGACACAACTCTGGCTGCGAAAATGGAGGAGGACCAGAAGTGCTTGCTGCAAAAGGTCAAGGACTACAGCCTTCAATATGGATTGAAGCTCAACATCAAGAAAACAAAGATTCTCACCACTGGACCGAATGGCAGCATCATGATGGATGGTGAAGAGACTGAGATTGGTCACAGCTTTAGCTTGCTTGGCTCCACAGTCAACACTCTTGGAACCAGCAGCCAGGAAATTAAAAGACGAATAGCATTGGAAGAGTCTGCTGTCAGAGACCTCTCCAAAGTAGTGAAAAGCAATGATGGCAGTCTGGAGATGAATGTGCACCTAATACAGACCGTAGTCTTTGTGATTACTTGCTATGTATTAGAAAGCTGGACTAGGGATGACAGAAGGAGAATTGATGCCTTTGAGCTGTGGTGCTGGAGAAGAGTACTGAATATACCACAGACTGCTGGGAACACAGTTTTGTTCTAGAGAGGGTGAGACCAGGCTGTTCCTTGGAGGCAAGGATGCTGAAGCTTCGTCTGACATACTTTGGACATGTTGCAAGGAGGGAGCAGCCCTTGGAGAGGAACATCATGCTTGAGAGGGTGGAGGGACAGTGCAGGAGAGGAAAACCTTAGATGAGATGGATTGATTCAGTGACTGAGGTAGTGGGTATAGGTGTTTCAGAGACAATAAGATTGGCACAGGATAGAGCAGGGTTTAGGGCTGTTGTACATAGGGTCGCTATCAGTCACAGATGACTCGATGGCACATTAATAACAACAACAACTACATGATGATCTGGATGACGCAAATCCAGAGACAGTGAAAAGATCACCACTGTGGTTCAATAGAGCACGTGAAAGCGGCAAGGTTCAAAGTCAGGAAAGATGTATTTTAGTGTTGTATTCTTTCTCCATACCTATTCAGTCTGTATGTTAAGCAAATCATTAGAGAAGCTGGACTCAAAGGAAGACTCCACAACAACCTAAGTTATGCAGATGACACAACCTTGTTTGCTAACAGTGAGCAAGACTTGAAACACTTGCTGCAGAAGATCAAAGACTTCAGACTTCAATATGGATCACATCTCAGCATCAAGAAGACAAAAATCCTCACCACTGCACCAATAAGCAACATCATGACAGATGGAGGTAAGAATGAAATTGCCAATGATTTCATGTTACTTGGATCTACAATCAACTCCCTTGGTATCCAGCAGTCAAGAGATCAGTAGATGTATTGCACTGGGAAACGTCTGCCACCAGGGTCCTCTCAATGACGTTACTTTGAAGAACAAGGTGCACCTGATTCAGGCCAAGGTCTTTTCCATCACTTGCTATGAATTAGAGAGCTGGACAATGAATAAGAATGATAGAAGGAGAATTAATGACTTTGAGCTGTGCTGGTGAAGCGTACTAAGTATCACATTGACTGTCAAAAGAATACATATGTCTTAGAAAAAGTGCAGCCAGGACACTCCTTGTTTGTAAGGATGGTAAGGCTTTGTCTCACATACTTTTGGGTTATATTGCTAGAAGATGTTATTCCTTGGAAAGGGAAATCACGCTTGGGAAGGCTGAGGGTCAGCAAGAAAGCAGAAGACTCTCAATAAGATTAAACAATACAGTGACAGCAGCAATGGGCTGTCAGAGAGGATGAGGATGGCACAGGACAGAACTATTGTTCATAAGGTTGCTGTGAGTTGTACTCAACTTGGCAGAATCTAACAATAACAACAACAACAACAACAAGGGGAGGAGGCAGGAACAAATAGGCAAAGGACATGTATTTTTAGAGCAGGAAAATGATTTCCTTTCATGATACATGAATTAATTGCCAAAATCCAGAAAAGTTTACAGCACAAAAGTGAACCTTAATATATATCAACTTGGAAACCTGGGAGTTCTGGCAGTTTAGTGGGTAAGGGAACTGTACTGCCAACCCCAAGAACTTGGTTCAAATTATCCAGCTGGCTCCCTGTGGGGTAATCTCTGTGATTTACATCCTCTGAGAACCCACTACTGGGTCAGCTCTGAGTCAGGTCCCAGTTGACAGGCACTGTTTGGTTATCGTGAAGTAGATTCCAACTAACATGTAAATTCATATTCCACCTTACAGCGATCCAGTAGGACAGAGCAGGACCAGGGTCTTCAGGCCTGCAATATTTGTCCTGCAGAGGGGCTGGTGGATTTGATGAATCAATCTTTCACTTAGCAGCCGAGTGTTTAATCATCGCACCACCAGATTCCTCAGTGTGAACTACAGACTTTAGTTAATGGTAAGGCATCAGTGTTAGTCCATTAGTCATAACAACTGTACCACACAGACAGGAAAGATGCTGACCGGAGAAATGACTGTGGGAAAGTGTGTGTGTGTGTGCTGCCATGCATGCTACAACTGTTACCGAAACTTTGCAGAGTCCTTCTAGTTCAGTGGGAATATCTTGTGGAATAGCACAGGATTCTGCAGAATGGTAAAAGGTTAGAAACTAAAGAAGAAGGTCTGCTGGCTAGATTTAGAAAGAGAAAAATGCAAAATAAACAGCAACAGCTCTTACACATTTAGTTGCTTTGGTACCTACTGGTCACCCTGAAAAGTGGGGGGTCCAGGTGAGGGGGACTGACACAGTGGCTGCAAAATGGCCTTATGCTATGAGGATGGTCCAGGGCAGGGCAGGGCTTCCTCCTGTTGTATACTTGGGGGCGATAAGTCAGAGCTTTTTCTTATATTTTTGTTAAATATGCCTCATAGTATTTAACAACAATAACAAGTCATTCTAATTAACGCTTCAAAATAGCCTATCTGTTGCTTAATACTATATCAGTGCCGCAATTTTTGTTGTGTACCATAGAGTCCAAACGGACCCATAGCTGACCCTCCAGTGGGTCTTCAGAGACAGTTAATCGCATGGAGGAGACTGTCTAGCCTCCCGGAGAGCAGCTGCTGGTCTTGAACCTCGTGCCTTCAGGATTACAGTGCACCTTCTTGCCACTAGTTTTTGTTGAGTGATGACTTATAGCAACCCTATGAACAAAAGGCCTAAATAGTCCCTTTATAACTATCATCATTTATCAAAGTTCATAGTTTCCTGAGTCATGTTTTTTGGCCACCAGAATTTCGTAGAAAACATTTTACTACTTAACTTGGGCCACTGTACTTCTCACGACTTTGCCACATAAGTTTTTACATAAAAATGAAAGCCATCAGTGTTCTGGTGTAGTTTTGTCTTATTTTTTATGAAAGGTGTGTGAAAGAAAAAGAGGTAAGACTCAGACAAAGAAATGGCCTGTCAACAGATCCTTTGTGTTACAGTAGCACTTTGGAGATCAAATTCTAAATCTCACACTTGCACAGCCAACAGCTACCAAGTGAAAGGGCTGGGGCATCTTATTTGTTTATTTTCCCCAGAGAGAAAGCTGCTGGAAGCCGGGAACCCCGCCTTCTCTCTCTCACTCTCCACCCTACACCTGCAACTAGTCATTCACCAAGAGCCCCTCTGAGGCAGAGGGGGAGAGAGACAGAGAAAGCTGCTGTTACAGGTGTATTTAACCGGAATATGCACTCACTCAAAGGTTTTCAACTGAAGAAATCAGGCCCTTATTCCTAATACCCATGATTTAAAAAAAAAAAAAGAAACAAAGCTTCCAACATTATAACTTTATTAAAACTTAGAATCAGGTCAGAAATAGCAGTCAGATAAAGTACACTGAAAAGCA